TATTATAATTTTATTTTTTATTTATGATTTTAGTTTTAGTTAACTATAGTAACCCTGCCTTGACCGTCTGCAGGCTGTCTGGGAGCGACTCATACAAACACATACAGATGGGTGATTATTATGCGGAAAGGTGCCTTGATAAAAGCAGGGAAGTTTCTTTACTGGCTTTGAGAAAGCAGGGAAATTCCTCCGACTGGTTTAGCGGCTCCGGCTGCTGTTTATAGCTCCGTTTCCACTCGCGTTGAACCCAAACCACCAAATGTTCTGCAGCAGGACTTTATAGAGATCCTTCTGCTGGAGAATTCAGAACAGCAAGTGTGTGCAAACCATTCGCTCTGTTCATTAAGATCCCCAACAAACAACTCAAAACAGATAAACAAACAACAACACAAACACTGTGACATCGTCCTTAACCTACATTATCTAAATTATATGATAGTGGAAAAAAGACATTTGCTTCTTGAATTTTATACACTACCAGTCAAAAATTTGGAATAATTATAATTCTTTTTTTTTTTTGATGTTTTAGAAAAAAAAACTATTTTGCTCACCAAGGCTGCATTTATTTGATTAAAAATACAGTAAAAATTGTAATATTGTGAAATATTATTACAACTTAAAATATCTTTCTGTGTGAATATCTGTTAAAATCTAATTTATTTCTGTGATCAAAGCTGAATTTTCAGCATCATTACTCCAGTCTTCAGTTCCACACGATCCTTCAGTATTCAATTTCAATTTTTTTTATTTTTTTTATTAAAAAACAAACAAATTAAAAATGTATTAATTTATTCCAAACCTTTGACCAGTAGTTTTCATATATATGTATATATATATATATAAATGTGTGTGTGTGTGTGTGTACTCTTATTTTCATTGATATTATTATTTTAAATAATAATAAATTAAAATTTTTAAATGTATTAGTTTTAATAATATTTTAATAATAAAAATATATTCTTATTAATTAATTAATATTATTTTTAATATAATGAATTATATTAAA